ATATGAGGGTCCTGTTTCTAACAGACAAGACACACAGTTCTTTCCTTCTCCTTTCTCTTGTATAATTTGGCCTGCCAGGACCAACAATTTTCATCTGAATTAGTTTAAAAGAAAACTAATCTACCCCGTTTGCATAATTGGTGCCTGATTGCTCTAACTCCCATTTTATAAAATGCAAATAAAAGGAATTTTATGATATAAGCCTGGAAGGAAACCAGAGTCAAAATGTGTATTTGCAGATGAAATGGAATCTTTTTTTCTTCTCTGGGAATTTAAAAAGAAAGCCCCCAAAATAAATTTTGAGTGAAAAAACTCATAACTTCTAAAGTGCCATATGAAATGCAAAGCCCTGCATATTGGAAGGGAAAAATTGAACATATTTGGTACAGTTTTGAGGAGCAAGTCAGGATCTATCTCATCTGGGAGACCTGCACATGCCTTTGAGCAGCTTTATGAAGATCTTCACTCATGCATGTGTGCTCAAAAAGGCAGTATTGTTGTGCATACGAACAAGTAAATAGACTCAAATACAAGCTGTGAGGACACTCACACGCAGCACTCAGCACCTGCAGAGCCCAGTCTGTCCCCTGCCAAACCAGTTCAAACCAGCATGATTCCAGAGCACAGCAGCAAGGCCCACTACGTACAGAAAAAAGCTGCCAGATGACCAAACTTATTTCCTTTACAGTGGAGTGGACATAATCAAAGTGTCTACATCAATGAAAACATTAAGAAGGAGAATTGGGATTATCTGTTTTACCTAGAAAGAACAAAGGAAAAGATCTGATAAGGGGACAAGGTTTGCTCCTAGTGTGGCATCTCCTCTACAAATGTTCAGTGTGCACTCCTGGATGTGTCCCAGGCTGGATTTCTAGCAGACCAAAGTACAAAGGAGCCTAGAGGATCTGTCCTGTTGTGAATTAATGCTGACAGACGCTCTCTGCCAGTGGTCAGCACCTTATACTCCAGCAGCCTCTTAGAGTTTTGTAGCCTTCAACACCTTGCTGGGCGCTCACATCCAGGCTGGAGTCCTGTGCTGACTGCAGGCATTGTTCTGGTTTTGCTGGCTTTCTTTATTTATCCAGGTCTTCTCTCTCTAAGATCTCATTTGAAATTATTTTTGGTTGGCTGCATTTGTCTTTATTGAGAAGGCAACGTATACCACAGCTCTTTGCATTTACATAAACATCTGCTTGGATTTGGCACTTGAGTATTTCATGGGATAATCTTAAAAGAGTGAAGTAGAGACTGGGCATGAACTTCTATGACTCTAGTTAGGCAGGTGCTTCCTGGCACCAAGTAAACATAAGAATAAACTGCACAGAATAATAAGAGAACATACAACCCATTTTAAAGTAGATTGACAAATAGCTTTTAAATTACTTTCTCCCTTTTATTTTTTGCTTTTTAAGCCACAGTAATCCTATTTTGGTTTATTTCTGAAGGAGACTGGAGAGGAAAACTTTTTTCTTAGAAATCAGATGACTTGTTGGAGGACTTATTGAAGGTCCCATGTTTATTGTGAGCTCTGACATTTTAATTGAAAGGACAAGAGCATTTATTATTTTAAGCAAATAGATATTTTGTCCTAATTATTTATTCTATATCAGATTAGGTAGGTTTTAAAAACAAATACTGCAAATCAGAGTGGTTTCAACAAAATTATTTAAAATCCTTTCTTTTCTCAGTTTCTCACCTTTAACATTTTATATCCAGTGATATTATAATTACATTAGTTCTCCATTTGTCAGGAGATTAAAGAAACTCTCTGTTTCAAATGTAAAAATCAAGAATTCCCCCAAGCTTATTTTGGTTCAACTCCTGGATAACATTTAAAGATAGAAAATCGTTGGTTATTTGTCAAAGGGGGAAAAAAGGGAAATGGCACAGTCCTGCTGGATTAAAAAAATGCAGATTTCATCAGTCTACTTGGAAAAAAGAGAAAATCACAGTACTGAATATTTTATTTAATACTATCTGCCATGGGAAATAGAGAGAAAACTACCTTGAAGTACAATAGTTTAAAAAGACCGAACAGCAGGTTTATTCTGCAATAAAATTACATCTAAAATAAAACAGAGTGGCAGAAGACAACAATAGTGAAAACCAAACAAAAGGAGAGAACAGAAACACAGAGAGAGGAAGAGCCCAGTGAGCTCTTTGCTTTTCAGAATGCTGGGTACATCATCCTGATTGTTAGATCAGCTTTCTGAAAAGAATATTCACCCTGTATCTAGGAATCAAACAATTATATCTTTAGGAGACCTGTGGGAATAGGAGAAATTGCTCATCTAAAGAAGTTAGACCCATTTACAGAATGTGGATATTTTTATTCCTCAGCTTGAATCCTACCAAGGGGTCCTGTGCCCTCAGTATTTTGAGTGTTCCTAAGCGTGCCACAGCAATAAGGGCACACTTGTGAATACTAAATGAGGACTGAATTACCCTCCCTTACACATCCTGTGCCTGAGCCAGCTCGGAAATGAAAGATCATGTCACATATGAAGCTTGGGAACTGATTAATTGTGATAGAATATTTATAGTTCTCATTTCCAGAGAACTGAAAATACCTTAAACAACTGGAATATTAAATTAAACAAAAATAATGTAAATCAATGGGAACTATACACAAATTGGGACACGGTGCTGGTTGAGAGGTTCAAGATAGAACTGTCTGTAGAAAAATTGCTTAATTCAATATTGATATTGTTAAATAGTTTGCATGAGATCTGGGCCTTACTCAAATCCCTGGGACTTTCACCATTGACTTGAAGTGAGGACAGGGCTTCATCCTCTTTGGAAGAGAAAGGAGGACCACAACAGTGCCACATTTCAGAAGGAGGAGCATCTCATCCATTTGGAAGAATCGTAGGAATTTCAGATGAAGGGATTGCATTTACCCCAAATATGAGCAGAAAACTGGGTTAACTGGGTCTGCCAGGGAAAATGTCTCAGGGTCCTGGAGAAATGGGACTAAAACCCTCTATTTCCTAGAAGACAGTTCTGCAAAGAGCATGAATGAAGTAGGAAGACCTTATGAACAAAAGCAATATACAAAATCTTGTATCATGTGAATTTCACAGGCAATTATGCTTCCATAAACTTAAGCTTTATTTTTATAAATGGGGATGAAAGCACAGTCTTGAATGCAAGATTGGAAAAGATTAAGGAATTAGAAAATACTAAGGCAACTGCAGTTCCAATTTCCAATTCTCATCTTATCATGACACACATAGTGAGTGCATTACCCCATTTTGATCCAATTCCATTAGATACTTGTAAGTCTCATGCAGCACTGGTTCATAAAACACAGCTTTTGGATACTCACCAAAATGAGCTAATTAGAGAGGACCAAGACAACTTCTCTCTGATGAATGGAGTATGTAATTTAACAAAATGAGGTAAATGGTGTAAAAACAGTGTTATAAAATGCTCAGATCCATGGTGAGAGGTTTTTTTCCCACAAGATTTCTAGGCTGTTGTTTTTACCCTCAGAAAATGTCACCCCTCACTGTTTCCCCTAGAAGAGAGGAATGGTCACATCAAAGCAATATCCAAGGATGTAGGTCATCATGAACTTTAAAGGTTTGTCACTTTTGCCATGGTTTTCTCGGAGGAAATGGAACCTCACCTTCAGCTGGCAGAACAGGACATAGCAACTTTTACATCAGTGATTAAGTAAGGACTTCAGCCTACTTCAACACCCACAGTAACCCTCTGATCATGGTAAAGAGAGCAGGTACACGGGAGAGGTGTCATCCCACAGCCTTGTGAAAATGTCTGTGTCGTTCACCCTGCTCCTTTCCCCTACCAATGACATGGACTTTGAGTGTATGGGATTGAAATTCCATTTTGGTGTCAGGAAATAGTTGTCTGTCAGGAAAGGGGTTCCACTGTCCGTAGCTGGAAGGTGTTTGGTTGCTGGCTAAGTTTTTCTTTCAGGATTCCCATGATGTCCCAAGGTAATACTGGGGACACCCCCAGTTATTAGACACAAAGTAAAAACAAACAAACATAAAACCTTTCCCGCAACTTCTAAACTTCCTTGGAAAGAAAGGATAAATCAATGTGAGATTTTTAAAAAAAGAGATGAAAATAATCACTCTTGATGGCAGAGTATTAATTATAACTTTGTGGGGGTGAAGTTAAAAGCCTGTCTTATGTGTGAATTGGGCGTATTATCTCCATGAAAGAGTAAGTGCGTCTGTGTACACAGTCCTGTGAACACCCGAGCGAGCAGGTCCACGGCTCTGCTATGGATTTGTGTCCTGTGATTGCCGGTCAGATGCCAGTGTCACCCTCGTGCTTGGGTAGCCATTACACGGCTCTTTCACACTAGATTTTTTCCTTCCCTGGTTAGGAATCGTCCCTCTTTATTTTCACGAAACCTACATAATTCTGGCACCCTGTGTGGCACAGACTCGCAGCGAGGCTGAGAAGAGCCAAAGGAGATTCAGTCCTGGCGACGGGATTCACCTTTCTGGGCAGAGCGGGCGGTGCTGCCTGGGCACTGCGGGGCTGGGGCTGCCGGGGCCAGCGGCCGAACAGGGTGCCCCGGCCCCGTGGCTCGCAGGCTCCGCACTCACAGCCCGGGGAACGCGGGGACAGAGGGAGAGCATCGCCCGCTCGAGTGTCACCGGGCATCCCCCGGCGCGGCATCGCCTCCAGTCGGAAGCGCATCCCGGGACCCGCGCCGCGGAGCCGGGGCTGCCGGCGGGGGATCCCGGTGCGGGACAGCCGGTCCCGGACAGCCGGTCCCTGGGGAGGGCTCACCCCTCTCTCCGCTGAGGCTCCCCGGCCGCGGGCGGGGCCGCGTGGGGACACCCCACAACTTCACCCGAAGTTTTCCTGCCGCCTCGTCCCCGTTCGGCGGGTCGCCGCCCCGCGGCGAGGGCACCGTGAGGACGAGATCCCGCACCTCAGATCCTCCCGGCGCTGGGCACATCCCGCCCACCGGCGGCGGCCGGGCC